GAGTCAAGTGTGCTGAGGATATGGTGGGAGCACTGGGAGGAGGGAAGGCAGAGGGCAGAGCACTTGGCAGCCTGCACAGCGTGTACCAGGGCGCTGCCTGGGACTGGATTCCAGGGTGCAGAGGGAGCAGCCAGTGGTCTGGGAGGGAGGTGAGTGCATGGGGAGCAGTGTGGGGGGCGGGAGAGAGCCAGAGCAGAAGTCTCTAGAAGGGAGAGGGGTGGTGGGTGTGAGGCAGCTTCAGGAGGCATTGTCTGCAGGGCTTGGGTGAAACGACCAGGAGGAGGAGAAGGAAGGACCAAAGCTGTTCCAGCACCTCTGCCAGCCTGTGGGTCTCCACCTTATCCCTGGAGGCTTTAGGCCTCTCTCTCTTTCTCTTTCTCTCTCTCTCTCTCTCTCTCCCCCTCTCCCTCTCCCTCTCCCTCTCTTCCTCACCCAAGGATATGTTTCTTTTGACTTTTAGAGAAAGAGGAAGAGAGGGAGGGAGGAAAGGAGAGAGAGAGAGAAACATTGGTGTTAGAGAGAAACATCAAACCCGTATCCTGACTGGGAATCAAACCCCAACCTTTTGGTGTACGGACAGCACTCCAGCCGACTGAGCCACCCGGCCAGGCCTGGCTCCTCCTCTCTTTAGCCTCTCAGTTCTTGAACTTGCTCAGCTCAGGCCTTGCTGTCAGGTTCCTCCTCATCCCTCACCAAACACCCCAACCCCAGCCAATCCACTGATCTCAGCGGTCTTCCCTTCACCTCCTGCTGTTTGTCACTTTAATATTAATGCAGCAAGAAAGGAGTTAGAAATAATATTTCTGCTTTGTGGCGCCAACAGAGATGTGATGAAAGCTTAGACAAGCAGAGAATATCAGCAGCAAACCGGCTCCGCCTAGGGCTGCTCGCTGTGCCGCTCTCCCTACCCCCTTTACAGATTCTCCCTGCCGCTCACAGAGGGGACGCTGCCTCACAGAGGGGACACTGCGGATGATGGAGCCAGAGCTCTGACCCAGGCCACCTGTTCTCTTAACTGTTGCATGCTGCTTTGTGGTGCCAACAGAGATGTGATGGGAGCTTAGACAAGCAGAGAATATCAGCAGCAAACCGGCTCCGCCTAGGGCTGCTCGCTGTGCCACTCTCCCTACCCCCTTTACAGATTCTCCCTGCGGCTCACAGAGGGGACGCTGCGGATGATGGAGCCAGAGCTCTGACCCAGGCCGCCTGTTCTCTTAACTGTTGCATCTCCTGCCTGTGTAGCAAGAAGAGTCTGTGAGGCATCCGCTCTGGCCTGGCCTGTGTGTGTGGGTTGCCCGAGGTGGGGTGGCCCTAATTGCTAACTGCAATCTTGATGCTCCTCTACTTGAATGAACACTAGTGATAAGTCATGTCTCCTTCTTCACTACACACATGAGGCAGTTACCTACCCAGGAACCTGGGAGGGCGGGGTGTGAAGCACCGGAGCTTAGCTGGGGCAGGGTGAGAGAACCCCATGGAGGGCTTGGAGGGAAGAATGGGCAGGAGGGCAGGAGGGCAGCAGGGCGGGGGAGCCCTGGGAGCTGTGCATTATCTGGAGGCAGAAGGGAGCCATGGAAGGATTTGGAGCAAGTGACTGGCATGATCAGCTCTGTATTCTAGACAGGACACTTTGTCAGCAGTGAGGAAATGAAGTCTGAGGAGATGGGAGGATCCCTGCGGGAGACACCAGTGAGGGGAGTGTAACCCCCATGGGCCTGAGCTGCTCAGGGTTGGACAGGAGGGGGGCTGGGAAAGGGAAGCGCAGGGACTCCCAGGCTTGGCTTTGTCCCCTAGGGCGGTGCGCCTGGTGAGACTGTCTGAAACCCAGCCTGGGTCTTAGCCTGCAGCAACCTAAGGAGAAGTGGTTCCCACCCTCCTCACCTCTGAATCACTGGCACTTGCTGTGCCTGAGGCCACACCCTCTGGGGTGGGCTGCTACCTGCAAACACAAAAGGCCATTCCTAATTTAGGGAGAGAAGGGGAGAGAGAAATTTATTTTTTTGATTAGGAAACATGACAAAATGGGGGAGACCACCCATTGTCCCACCCATGCACACACAGTTGCCATTCTTAAGTTCTGTTCTTTGAGAAAAAATATTTGCAAGACTCTGCTCTGTCCTATCTTTATCATAAAACTGTATGTCTGATCTAAGGTGACCCTTAGGTCCAGCTGCCCACCTGGAGAGCCCCAGCATGCCACCATCTCTACCTGAGTGCCCCTAAACCCTGTCACCCTCCCGATCCTGGACTGGCCAGCCAGAGGGTGTGTTGTAGTAGGACGGCAGGTAGCAAAGGCAGGGTCTCCCCTTCCCTTGTTGGGGACAGTAACGCCCCTGAGAAGGCCTGCAGAGCAAAGCAGAACAGAAACTCCCACCCAGGCAGCCGGGTGGAAGGGAGAGGAGAGCCCGGACAGGCTCTGTGTTCTCAGGAAGAAAGGTGAGGCCTGCGTGGGCGCCCTTCTAGACTTGAAGTCTGGGGATTTGTATCAACAGGAGGCCCCAGGTGGAACAGTTTTGGGGTTTTCTTAACAGCTTTATTGAGGCATAATTAACATACCATAGCATCCATGCACTTTCAGTAAATAGTGCAATGACAGTGCAAGCCTCACCACAGCCCAGTTACAGAACATTTTCCCCAAAAGTTCCTTATGGCCCTTGCAGTCTTCCTCCCACTCCCAGAGCCAGGCAGCCACTCGCCTGCTTCCTGTCTCTATAGATCAGCCTTCTTTTGGACATTTCTTATAAATGGATTCATACAGTCACCTAGTGTGGTTCTAAATTCACCCATGTTCCTTTTTTATCATGGATGCTATTCCACTGTATATGACAGACCACATTTTGTTTCTTTAGTCACCAGTTGGACAATGGAATTCTGTCCAATTTTTGGATGTTATGAATAATGCTACAATGAACATTCGCTGGTACGTTTTTGTGTGGACACAGGTTTTCATGTTGCATAGGAGTGGAATTGTTGGATCATAAAAATTTACACTTAACTTTTTAAGAAACTGCCAAGCTTTTCCACAGTGGCTACACCATTTTTCTTTCCTACCAGCCATATGAGGCTTCTAGTTTATCTGCATCCTCACCAACACTTGTTATTGTCTGTCTTTCTGATTATAGCCATCCTAGGGGCATGAAATAGTATCTTACTGTGGTTGTGATTTGCATGTCTCCAAATGTCCTTATTGGATGTCTTATAGTTTCTCTGGAGAAATGTCTATTTAAATCTTTGGCCAGTTTTTTAAATTGGGTTATTGTAAATATGTCTCTCTTCTCTGCATCCAGCGCGGCTAGAGAGCGGTCCAGTTCCTGAGTAGGGGCAGCTAGGGATTGGGAAAATGAAAGAAAGATACAGACACAGAGGTGGAAGGAAAAAGCTGGGGCCGGGTGGGAACGCTGTCCTCTGATGATGAGAAAGGGACAAAGACGTGACCCAGAGCTGATACAGGAGATACAGACACAGAGGTGGAAGGAAAAAGCTGGGGCCTCTGATGATGAGACAGGGACAGAGACGTGATACAGCGTATTTATTTTATACAGCAAAAACCAGGAAGTTTTACTAAAAGTCAAGACAAAGGGGATTATGTGCATTCTTGGGTGAGCCCGAGTTGTATTCATTCCTGGTGCTTGGCTGGATTTAAATAACAAAACCCAGCCCCTGGCACCTGGACTGAAGGTCAAGCTGACAACACTCCTGCCTCTTGGAAAAGCGTGTTTCCAGGACGTGGCTTTGCCAACACCACTGGATTCAACTGACAATAATTAAAGAAATGCCCAGGTCCTTGGGAGCTCCCAGCCCTGTGTCCTACACGCTACAGGGGCCTACCCTTGTGCCCCTCTTTGCCTCATGAGCACATCCAAGAGTAAAGGTCAGTTCACTGAAGGGCAGTACCTAACTCTTGACCAGGTCCATTTGAAAGTTATTTAAACCAACTGAAATCTGCACCCCTGGACCTTCTGCCTACTGGTCTGCATCTGCTCTCTGAGGTGAGGCAAACGTCTGCATTTCCCCTGAGAGGAGACCTCCTCGCCCGGCCCCTTCCCTGTGGCCCCAGAGCTCTGAGACCAGCCAACCGTCCGCCCTGTAAGTGAGGGCCCAGTGGACAGTAGGACCATTACCTCCTGTCACCTGAACACCGTGGTCCTCTTTACTACAGCCTAGCACTGCACTGCACTGCTTTCTTGGTGTCCACATAACACCTTCTCCCCAGAAATACATCTTTACGCCCAAATAGCCATTAATTGGAGGTTTGATGGTTTTTCCCGCTGCTGTGTATCTACAATGCCTTTGGAGTGTTTGGTAGGTCCCCTCCTGTGGCAGAGGAGTGGAGGCAAGTGGCTCAGGCTCCAGGCTTGTCCTGTGCTATCTGAGCTCAGTGCAGTGGGAATGTGTCCGCCAGTGCATGGCTGCTGGAACAGCCTTTCCCAGAGACGGGACACTCCCATTGGTGGGGTGCAGAATGATTCTAGGAAATACATGGGACTCGACAGTAAATAACATCAACTCACAGCGAGAAAATACTGTTTTCAAAGTGTCTTCAAATCTCTGATTGTGGCAAAGAGAGAGTCTGGTAGTGTCGGTATGTCTTTAACACCTTTAACCCTTGGCAATCCAACCAGCCCCCCTGCTACTTCTCTAAATGAAGAGCAAGCCATGGGAAAATAGCAGAATTTAATACTACTCTCTTTTTCACTGTATGTACATTATTCATGGCAAGGGATAGTTTTCCACTTACAGTGACATTATAAAGTTGTCTTTCAAATTAAATGAGGGAAAGTATTACATGAATTAGAGGTGGTGTACAGGTGGCCCAGATGAAGGTGGTTTGGGATATCCTACATGGGGGATGCACCACAGGTGGGGGGCATGCCGGGTGCCCACGCCCCAGCCAGGCCTCGGGGTCTGCCGTGACCTTGCCATGTTCGCACTCTGGGAGCCACAGCGCCATGCGCGGGGGTGGCGGTGGACACTAACCTTGGTGCTCGGCCCTCCTGCAGGTGCGGCGGGCTGGGGCTGGTGCTGGCCAGCGCAGGCTTCGGCATGCTGACGGCGCCCATCATCGAGCTGCACAACCAGAAAGGCTACTTCCTGCACCACATCATCTTCGCCTGCTGCACGCTCATCTGCATCATCTGCATCCTCCTGCTGCCCGAGAGCCGGAACCAGAGCCTGCCCGAGAGCCTCTCCAACGGGGAGCACTACACGCGCCAGCCGCTCCTGCCGCACAAGAAGGCCGAGCAGCCGCTTGCTCACCAA